TGATAGTAACAAAACATGTATATAAAGAGTTCAAATCGTAGCTTGAATAAAATAACTTCCGAGTTCAATTGAATAAAGTTCCCAACCTTCGAAATTAGAGTAGGAGCGTTTGTCTTTGACCCCGTTATACCCGCTTATTGAAAATCGTTCGACGTTATAATAAATTCTTGTCCCTGTGACTTGTACATCGATTATCGAATATAGTAAGAAAGAGACATTGTATTAGTAATACAAGTCCTTATATATTAAAATCGCCCCTGATTTGGTTGGTGATCAACGTCATTGTCCCTGATTCGTAACCCTGTGATACCGTGATCTTGTACCACGTTTCCAATTGGCTATCTTCGATCACGGGGCACCGCCGCAGTATCTTCGAAAAGAGGAAATTCTAATTAACGAAAGCATCAAAGAAAATAAAGTGTTAGCAAAGAGACAACAGAAGCGACTAAATCACCAAACTAAAGAAGGAAATACTCATCTGAACCCGACACTATCGCTGTAAACTCAAAATAACCCTGGTTACTCGGACCAAGTCTTTCCACGCCTCGATCGTAGCCTTACCAATATTGGGGTTTGGTTATTATAGTTGTAGTGTTCTAGTTTGGATAGTTTATTGGTATTAGTGTTGTAGTGAGTTGTTCTATTTCGGCCCAGTACTTATTCCGACGCAGCCCAAACTATTTTACCCTTTTACAACGTACGTACGTACATGTATTGCTCATATCAAATATCAATGTGATTTGGATTTAGACGTTTTGTAATGAACCTTATTCTCACGAATAAAATAAATAAATAAAAGGGCTGCTGAGCAACAGTGAAACAATATTATAATTTGAAATTAACTCAATTATGGCACAAGTGAAATTTAATAATGAATATGCGGGAGTGTATGATATATGTTTTGGCTCTAATGAACACCCACGTAATATTCATAACTGCTGCCCTTCTTTTGGATCAAGTTTCGAAGGCGACTTAGATTTGGAATTTTTTTCTAATCTCCAACAAATCATAATTTGTAATCTCTATAAGCTCAACGATGTCATAAATATAGATATTAGTAAAAATGAAAAGTTCAACAAAATAGTAATAACGGAAAGTAACGATATGAACAAAAATCAACTTTGTTTTAAAGTTAAAGAAATACAACTTGATAGAATAATCGTATCTTATAAAGTTTTACACAATAATGCATACCTACCAAAATTGGAATCTTTAAGAAAACAACCATTTATACCATATATGTTAGTCGAAGATAACAAATTAAGGCAATTAGAGGCTGAAGCTGCAAATTTAAAACAA